ACAGCATGCTTCAATAGTGCAAGTCGAGATTTTCATTTTTTTCTTCAGTTCTTTCAGCTTGAGAAATACTGAGCCTGCTCTTCTCTTTTGTTTTCTGACTTCAGGTCTTTGTGTATTTCATTATCATACCTGGTCTTCTTGGACTGCCCTTGAGATTTTCTGTTCAGTTCTTTTACATCACCATTTCTTCTTCTTAACAACAACAACATGGGCAAAATACTGAATGATTCAGAAAGAATCAAAAGAAGACGGAAAGAATACAGAGTCAGTGTACCAAAAAGAACTGGTTGATCCTCAATCATTTCAAGAGGTAGCATATGATCAAGAGCTGACCGTATTGAAGGAAGAAGTCCAAGCGGTACTGATGGCGTTGGCAAAGAGACAAGGCTCCAGGAATTGATGGAAAACATATCAAAATGTTTTGACAAACTGATGCAGCATTGGAGGAACTCACGCATCCATGACAAGAAATTTTGAAGACAGCAATCTGGCCAACCAATTGGAAGAGATCAATGTTTGTACCCATTCCAAAGACAGGTAACCCAATGGAATGCAGAAATAACCAAACAATATCATTAATATCACATACAAGTAAAAAAAATTTTCTGAGGATAATTTAAAAATGGTTACAACAGTACATCAACAGGATGCTGCCAGAAATTCCATCTGGATTCAGAAGAGGATGTGGACCGAGAGATGTCATTGTTGGCATCCAATGGATCTTGCCTAAAAGCAGAGAATACCAGAAAGATGTTTACTTGTGCTTGATTGCTTATGCAAAGGCTTTCAACTGTGGAACATAACACACTATGGACAACATTGTGAAGGATGGGTATTCCAGTACACTTAATTGTGCTCATGAGGAATCTGTACATAGACCAAGAGGCAAGTGTTAGAACAGAACAAAGGAACACTAAGTGGCTTAAAATCAGGAAAGATGTGCACCAAGGTTGTCATGCTTCATATTTATTCAATCTGTATGCTTAGCATATAATTCAAGAAGCTGGATTACATGGAAGAGCATGGCATCAGGATTGGAGGAAGATTTACTAATCTATGATGTGCAGATGATACAACCTTGCTTGCTGGAAGTGAACCTAAAATACTAATAAAGATCAAAGACAACAGGCTTCAGTATGAATTCATGTAGAGAAAACCAAAATCCTCACAAATGGTCCAACAGATAACATCAAAATAAAGGGAGAAAAATTTGAAGTTGCCTAAGACTTCATTTTGTTTGGATTTACAATCAATACTCACGGAAGCAGCAGTCAAGAAATCAAACGACTTACTGCATTAGGCAAATCTGCTGTACAAGACCTCTGTAAAGTGTTCAAGAGCAAAAGTCCCAGCTGGAGGATATCTTAGGCTGGGATTTCTAGAGAAGTAAAACCAGTGAAACATATGTGTATATATATATATGTTGTTGTTAAGTGCTGGCGAGTCAGTTCCGACCCATAGTGATCCTGTACAGGGTTTCCAAGGCTGTAAATCTTTATGGGAGCAGAAAGCCTCATCTTTCTCTCCCAGAGCAGCTGGTAGTTTTGAACTGCTGATCTTGTGGTTCAAAGCCTGATTCGTAACCACTACACTACCAGAGCTCCTTATGCATGTATAAAGAGAAGTTTATTATCAAGGAAATGGCTTACCACTGCAGTCTCAGGTCCCCAATGGAAGGGACAGAGAGCCTTTCCCATGTGTCCGTTATATTGGGAGCAGGTCACATCCCCAAGGAGACATTCCTTTAATTGATTGGCTGCTCATAACCGCTCATCATAGCATTAACTATGCCTATGTTAGGTTTCATCACCATGGGAACAAGCACATCTTAACTGCTAACACATCTTAACTGCTAACTCTTTGGATTCTTGGCCCAGTCAAGTTGACACAGAACCCTAACCATTACAGAGGACTAAGGTATGCCTGAGCCAAGCCATGGTATTTTCCATCACCTCTCATGCACGTGAAAGGTAGCTCTTGACTACTAACTGAAATGTTACAGATTTGAGTCCATCTCAGAAGAAATGTTTAGCAAACTTCTTTTGAAAAAGCAGCCACTGAAAACCATAGGTGTGCAGGTCTACTCTGACACATATGGGGTCACCGTGAGCTGGGCTCAACAACACAGCAACTGGCATTGTTTGGTTTGTTGGTTTAGTATAAGCAGCACATGACTGCATTTTCTTTAAAAAAGAAAAAAAAGACAGCCTGTGCTAAGATAGGTGATATGTAGGGGCTCCAAAAGGTTCATGGGAAAGTGGACTGAAAAGACAGGGGAATTTTCCATAACGCTTTGTACGATCTAGGTGGTAGGTGTGTGGCTGGATATTGTGTGAGTCTTTCAACGCTTCTTTGCATTTAAAGTTTTTCAGAAAAAAAAAAAATACATGTTGGGGGGAAAAATGAAAATAACGCTAAACACTACCAACCCTCTTAAATATGCATTGTGAAATCTCAATGGGCCACTCAGGAGAGCCAAGGAGATTTGGGACCTTGGCTGAGCCTTCCAGCCCCACCTCACTCACTCGTTTACCTGTGAACTTTTTTTTTAACCTTCATAATATCTTACTGTGTTTTATGTAACAGTTTACATATCAGATTAGGTTCTCAGTTTACATTTTTATGTGAATGAATGACGACATTAGTTAGTTCCTATGGTGTGTCAGCATGTTCCCAGTTTCCTACCCTGACTGCCATTTCCAGCCCCTCCTTGTTGTTGTTGTCAAGTGCTGTTGAGTCGGTTCTGACTCATGTTGTTGTTGTTGTTCCTGTTATGCGCCGTGGAGTCAGTTCCAACTCATTGCGACCCTGTACAGGGTTTCCACAGTATATGGTTTCTGAGGAGCGGCTGGTGAATTTGAACTGCCAACCTTGTGATTCATACTGACCTTGTAGTCCAGTGCTTATCCTACAGCGCCACACCAGGACTCCCTGCCCATTCTTATTGGTGTTATTGTTGTTAAGTGCCATCGAGTAGGTTCCTACTCATTTGTTATTGTTAAGTGACCCATAGTTACCCTGTATAGGGTTTCCAAGGAGGAGCTAGTGAGCTAGAATCACCAACCTTGCAGTTAAAACAACTTTGCAGTCTGACACATTAGCCCACAGTGCCACACCAGGACTTCATAGCAACCCTGAATAGGATTTCTGAGGAGCAGCTGGTGGATTTGAACTGCCAACCTTGTGGTTCAAACTGACCTTGTAGTCCATTGCTTATCCTCCAGCACCACACCAGGACTCCCTGCACAGCCTTAGCATTTCTAACTGTTAGTGACTACAACAGCTGAACCAGGAGTGTGAGTAAGACACGCTCAGCTTAAAGACCACTTCCTCTCTGTAACTGACCTGCTTCCTCTGGAGTCTGTGGTACCCAGAGTGGAGCAGAGATGTTCACAGAGCTGAGCCGGGCTGAAACCAACGCTCTCCCCACCCCAAAACACACCACGAATATTTTAATAAATGCCCCGTCTAAATCGTGGAAGAAGGAAGTTCGAGCCTACTTTGGAATCACGGAGGTGTTTTATGAGGCTTCTTTTTTAAAAATTTTTAAAAAAATAAATGTGATATTTTTAAGGCTGCTCTATTTTATACATAAACCATTCAGAGGTGAACGGGAGTTGTTTTCCTCATCTACTCCTGGTATTAAATTGTGAGAAATAGTCTCCAGTGGGATCATTCGTGTAGACTTCTTTCATATAGTTTTTCCTGATAGTGAAACAAAGAGAGAAAAAAAATTATCAGCACAGTGTATATATATACCCAAATACACACATATATTGTTGTTAAGTGCCATAGTGTCAGTTCTGACTCACAGCGACACTGTATAGGGTGTCTGAGAAGCGACTGGTGGTGTGTATATATATTCATCTTCTTTCTTTTTATAAAATAAAGCCAATAAACTCATTAGTGTGTTGCCTCCAGGATTGTAGTTTACTGAGTCAATGTCAACTCACAGTGGCCCCATGTGACAGAACAGAACTGCCCCATTGGGTTTTCTAGGCTATAATTTTTGAACTACCAACCTTTTGGTTAGCAGTCAATTGCTTATTAACCTTGAGTCACAGAAGTGCCTGTTGTCCCCAGGATACAGAAAACATTTAAACCCTACTCAGCTTACTATGGCGTAGTGGTTACGAATCAGGCTGTGAACCGCAAGGTCAGCAGTTCAAAACTACCAGCTGTTCCGCAGGAGACAGTTGCGGCTTTCTGCTCCCGTAAAGATTTGCAGCCTTGGAAACCCTGTACAGGGTCGCTATGAGACTCCACGGCACTAACAACAGCTTACTGCGACTAGCAACCCACTTCAACGCCACCAGGAGGCACTCTGTCACCACACCACTCACATATGACCGGCGGTAACATGTTGTCTTGTTGAGATTCAAAGTAATCCTAGATAGGGTTTCCAAGAAGCTGGTGTATTTGAACTGCCAATCTCACTGTTCACACGGATCTTACAGTCCAGTGCTTATCCTCCAGTGCCACACCAGGACTCCCCTGAATATCCTTCTTCTGACTCATAGTGAGGGTTACCCTGTACAGGGTTTCCAAGGGGTGGCTGGCAGTTCAGTATTTATTCTACAGTTCCTCCCCAGGACTCTACATATGGATAACTGTTGTGAAGTGCCATCGAGTTGGTCCGACTGACTCATAGCTGCCCTGTGTAGGATGTCCAAGGAGTGGCTGTTTGAACCACTGCCCTTGAGGTTCAAACCCACTTTGCAGTCGAGTGCTTACCCTATAACACTACACCAGGACTCCACATATGGACTGGCTGTCTTAAAACCAAGTCTGCCAGGATTTGACTGTGCAAGACCTTTTCTCCTCTCCCTCTAATCTCCCCAAGATCACCTTGAAGTAAGTAAGTGCACCTTGGAGCTCCTCCCCCACAGACGTGACCCAACTATGCGTGCCCACCGCTAAGGGGGAGGGAGGGGGATTCTGAAACAATAAACTGCCTGCGGTCCCGTCTAAGCTCAAACCAAGAGCTTGGTATATAAACAGACTCCGTCGTCACAGACTCGTACCCACGTAAGTAAATAGATGCGGACAAAAGGGATTCTGAAAATTTGTGGGAAATCAGAAGATCAAAGACTTTTTCCACCAAACTTTTTGAAGCTCCCTCGTATTTTTTTAAATTACCAGTTCCCCTATTGATCCGCATTTGACAT